CAGCCTAGTCTACAAAGTGAGCTCAAGGCCAGCCTAAACCCCATAGAGACCCTTCCTCAAAAGACAATAATAAATAAATAAATAAAAATCAACCAATAACAAATGTTGGCAGGGCTGTGGAGAAAAAGGAACTCTTTCTTCTGTACTGTTGGTAGGAGTGCAGACTAGTGTAACCACTGTAAAAATTGGTGTGAAGATTCCACAAAAAACTTGAATAACAGGTTCCGTTTGATCCAGCTATTCCCCACCTTGATATCTTCCCAAAAGAATTAAAAGCAACATACCACAGCAATACATGCACACCCATGTTTACAGTGCCAGTTTGTAAGAGCCAAATCTTGGAAACAGCCCAAGTGTCCATTAAATGGTGAGCAGATAAAGAGGATATAAAAATTTTTACTTTTTTTTGAGACCGGGTCTCACTATGCAGTTCAGGCTGGCCTTGAACTCACTTTATAGCCCAGGCTGGCCTTAAACTTGCAGTGATCCTCTTGAGTGCTGAGATTGTAACCTATAGCCTCACCATGACCAGTTACATATGTGAATTTTTTTATACAATGGAGCACTACTCTGCCATAAATGAAAAACTTGAGACATTTTTAGGTAAATGGATGCAACTTGAGATCACAGGTGAAATAAAACGGGACACACATGTAAAATATCACATTGTTTCTCTGGTACGAGAAGCCTAAAGTGTAAATAAGGATCAAAGTGTACATTAACGTATTGTGAAATAGGAAGAAAATGTTCAAATGGGGAGGTAAACAAAAGAGGGGAGGAGGGGAAGCAAAGAAGGGAAAAGGAAAAATGCAAACAAAGTTTCTGTACATGGTACCAGGAAGAGGGATTGAAGGGAGGGTAAGAGAATGGGAAAAAAAAAGAATTAAGTTATATAATGTATGGGTACAAATTCTCTATGAATGTGACCATTATAAAATGTATTGGGGCTGATGGTATAGCTCAATGGCACAGCACCTGCATGGCAAGCGTTAGGTCCTGAGTTCAATTCCAGTCAATTCCCAGTTCCAAAAAAAAATAACTAAAAATAAAATGTACCAACAAAATCTGACTTAAAAAAGATAACAAAGGACAAACCTATGAATACCAGAGTATTCCCTGGTACACTAAGAATACTAGGCACAAAAAACATCATACTGAGAAAAACCAGTAGCTGCTCAAGCTCAAAAGGTTGTGTTACAATAATTATTGCAAAGGACAGCTCCATGGAGTTCTCTCAAAAAGTCAGAACTAGAAGCCACCAGGTGTGGTGGCTCACACCTGTAATCCCAGCACTCAGCATTCAGCACTCGGGAGCTGAGGTGGGAGGACCATTGCGAGTTCAAGACCAGTCTGGGCTACAAAGTGAGCTCAAGGTCAGCCTAAACTGCATAGCGAGACCCCATCTCAAAAAAGACAAAAAAAAAAAGTCAGAATTAGGGCCAAGGGTGGAGGCACATTCTTGCAATCCCAGCATTGAGAGCTAAGGCAGACAGATCACCGAGTTCAAGGCCAACCTGAGCTATGTAGCGAGTTCGTTCAAGGTTGGCCTCAATTGCGGAGTGAGATCCTGCCTCAAAAATAAAAATCAGTCAAAACAAAAATGGGCAAATTCAAATCCTTCTTACCACCATCAAGGTTGCCACAGTCTAAACTCAGTTTCCACAATTTCCTACAAGCTAGGGTCACTTACTGAATACTGACACTGACTTCTTAACTAGCTCATCTCCAACAGGCACTTATTAGATTCAGAGGTTTCACCCTTTGAAGAGTTACCTCTTCAAAGTAAGGCTCAGAAATACTAGCATTAATCAGGGCCAGGGATTTAGCTCAGCAGTACAAGCGCTTGCCTGGCAAGTAAGAGGTCATAAGTTTGATCCTCAGTACAAAAAAAAATTAGCATCAATCAAAATACAATGGCTAAACAATGGAGGAAATAGAGAAAAAAAGTATGCCAGGCATCAGGCAATGTTTAAGAACAAGGAATACAGCTGTAAACCAAGACAAAATAGTACTGCCATTGGAAACAGCACCACAATGTTTTAAGACAGAGAAGATGCCTGTGCTCTAGAATGTCTAGCAAAACTTATTCATTTAACAAAGAACTGTTGGGCCAGGGATTTAGCTCAGTGACATGAGCACCTGCCTAGCAAGCACTAGGTTTGTGAGTTCAACCCCAGTAGCAAAAAAAAAAAAAAAAAGCTAAGCTTTCTGCTAAAGCTCTTATAGGATGTTAAGAGCCTACCATTTTTACACTAATTTCCAAGAACAGTTTCCTCCGCTGAAACTTATTTCCCCTATCCCGTTAAGTGTGCAACTCTAGGTACAGTGCTGCAGAATAAGGAGACTATTTCTAAACCCTATCAACACTCAAGCACAATCAATGTGACAACAAAGGGTAACCTGTAAACCCATCAGTTCGCCCCTTTGTCTCCAACTAATCAAATATCTTCCCCCAAAGACCGCCCATTTACCTTCAGTTCCATGTATAGAATTAGAGCTAAAGAAAAATGAATTACCACGTTTCAAGTCCTCAGTCTGTATTTCAACCTCACAGCTTCACTCTATAAAAACCTCCAATCTGTCTACCATTCCTGATTCTGTATCTAAGAAAGCCTTCATTTAAGGTAAAGAACTCAGGGATGAAGGTGGTAATTTAGTTCTACAAGTAAATTCAATCTGACCATGTAAGTCAACAGCAATTCTCAATGTTCTTTGGGGACATCCCCTATTATCTTCTGCATGACTCAGGCCCTTTGCAGAATCCCAAGAGGCCAACAAGGGACTTGGAAGAGGTTCAGGTAGGACTCATCAAAATGATCTCGAGGTCACAAATTACCCTTTATGCTGGAAGAATTTTAGACTTTTATTTTTAGTTTTGAAAGCAAAAGACTGGCTATAAACTAAGAGAGTACTAGTAAGTAGCTCTTTTAAATTAAGCACCTGAGTAATACTTCATCCCAATTCGAAACTTGGTAAAAAGGAACACACCTTAAGAAATTAATCTCTTCAAAGCAGTAAGGTGGTTTACATATAAGTTTCTTGCAGGCTGGCTATGTTGTTTTGTTTTCATTTTCGTTTTCTTTTTTTAGCCACTAAAGCTCTAAATTCTAAATGGCAAAGTCTGAAGTGGTCAGCTTTTATCTGAGATGAAGGTGGGACCAGCCCTAAGGGGAGGGTTGGGGCAGAGCAATGGAACCCTAATCCAGAATTCATTAAAACTAAAATATAGGAAGGCCTCCAAAATACAAACGCGACACCCTTACTTCCGCAGGATCTAAAATTGGAGAGGAAACGTTCCTTTCTCCCATCTCCATAACGTAAGAAAAACTGACTAGAGCTTCCGCGTATTTAAAACAGGCTTAAAGTAGGAAGCCGAAAGTAGGGCTCGCCCTCTGCCTGATGGCCCCTCAACAGTGGCCCGACGCAGAGGTAGCCACTCGAGCCAGCCCGCCTCGGCTGCCCACGGCCGGCAGGAGCTCCCGCAGCCGCTTCCCCCGTCCCGGCTCCGCCTAGGTCTCAGGCCCCGAAGGCCTTCACGTGGCCCAAAGTCCACGCCCACTGGGCCCAGTGGGGTCTGAGGCTCGCGGGGCCTGCTCTCTTCGGGGGCCCAGGGTCTTCTAGAGGAGCAGGCGAAAACGCAGATGGGCGCCCCGAGGCCCTGGCGCCTCTCACCAGCTGTGTGGGCGCCAAAACCTCGGTAGGCCGGGACTGCGGTTCCGAGGTTGCCAATCAGGCCGGCCGAGGCCTGCATGACACAGCACGATCTCACCCGGCCTCCGACCCGGGCACTACGCGACCCTGCCTAGGGGGCGCGCGGGTGCACAGCCGGCCCGTGGCCCCTCACTCGCCTCTCCTCAGGCCCTCTCCCCCTGTCCCCCCTACCAGCTCTTGGCCGCGCCCCCGCCAGGCCCGGTAGGGCCTACTCCGACTACGGGCCCCGCAGCGCGCGCCCCCGAAGAGGGCGGACGGGCGCGCGCACACACTCACTCGGCTCCAGAGGCCATGGCGCGCGCCTCTCCCAGTAGGCGGCTGTGGCGGCCCGCGGGTAACGGCTACAGGAGTGGCAGGCGACCGACTGGGCCGGGGCGCGGATTTCCTAGGCGAAGGACGAGGAGTAGCAACAAACCCGCAGGCGGCTTCTCTCTCGCTTCCGCCCAGTTGCACCGGACGGCAGGCGGGTAGGAGACGCTGGTTCCTGATCCGCGAGGGGCAAGCGACAGCGACGACTCAAACGACGGCAGCAAACGCTTCACTGAGACTGAACGCAGAAGAGCCGAATCATCGGAAGGAAAGCTGCCCTCACCTCAGCCAATCAGCGCCTGCTCTAGGGTCTCGGGCCCGCCTCTCTAAGCCTCTCCCCAGCAACCCGCGGATCACAACCAATCAGAAAATTCGTTTATGGCTCGGCTCCCGCCTCAGGGATGCAACACGCCCAGTAACGCCACGTCAATTGGCCGCAACGCTGCGCTTCCTCGACGGATTTGGGTTCTCGACCAATCAACAAAACGGATAGGTACAGATCGACTGACGAAAGGAGGGCCTTTAATTCCTTGAGGTGGACTTTCCCACTTGGCTCCAGTTCATTGGTTTGAGTTTATCCTACTGGAAGAACCTGGCACAAAAGCTTGAACCCTTGTATTAGTCCAGTCCTGTTGTAGTGATAGCCCACACAATTTCTCCCCAAATCTAAGGATTACTCTGTACCACACTAACCCTTCTTCTTGCTCTTTTAAATATTGGCTCCAGCCACCCCTACTCAGGATCCTATGACTCAAGCATTCTAGCTCCTAATTCATCCCATCCTATTGACGCTGTACCCTCCCGATGCTTGGGGCTATATGTTCACCTTACCATAACGCTGAGATCGCGGCACAGAGTGATAAAGAATAACACTGTTCAAGACCAGCCTAGGTTACAAAGTGAGCCCAGGACCAGCCTGAACTGTACAGCGAGACCGTTTCAAAAAAACAAAAAAATAAAATAACACTAAAGCAGAGGAGTAAAGTACCAGCAAATTTATTTAAGATACAAAGGCAAGTAAAGCTCACACAGCGGCTATAATCACAAGAGCTCTTTGTCTAAGGGTTTTTAAGGGATTTAGAAGGAAGCTTGCGCCATTGTGTAAGCAATATCTCAACCTTAGAAGACTTATTTTTTAGGGCCCAACCTGTACAATGTTCACAGTATCCATGCAGAACCAATATGCCCTTGAACCAATGCATGCCAGTCATGCTCTGGAGAAGCCCCAGACATAGGAAAGATACCTGTCACACGTTTTTGTCAGTTCCTTGAAGGCTCATGACTCAGCCGACTCCACTTTGGGGCTACTGTCCTTAGACTCTAACTCTGTTTCACTAATACCAGTTCCATAGTAGGGCACTTAAGTCCAGAAAGGGCAAAGGATAACCACAACTAAGCATGGTGGTGCATGCCTTTTAATCAGCACTCTGGAGGCTGAGCCAGGAGGATCACAGGGAGTTCAAGGCCAACCTGGGCTACATAATGAATTCAGGGTCAGCCTAGACTACAAGGTGAGACCCTGTCTCAAATACACAAACAAAAAAAGACAACCATAGAGCACAATCGATTCAATAGTTTAAGGGAGCAGACCATTGTTTGCTGGAACCAGAAGTCTTCGGCCCAAGATGATGGCTGGCCCTGATGCTGTCAATGAGCAGCTCTTGGTGAATGTTGACTCATTTCACCCTTCAACTCCTATCTACACAGACACATTTGACTGAGACAAATCCAATTTCTAATAGGGACCAGTTGGGGAATTATTTTAGAAGAGGTCTGCCCATCTCTTAAGTATAAAGTACCACACCTGCCATGTCTTGAGAGGCCTATGTAGCTTACCCACCAGACCTAACTCACTTACATAAACCCAGCACAGGATTCTGGGCTTGGCTCTGCTTTTAGGCAACAGAAAAATCTAAAGTACTGCTTCCAGAGTAAGGATTAGTGTAGCTGTTTCTCACACCCAGACATTGAGCTCATAAAACATGCTGAACAGCTAGGGGTTCAATTGTGAGACCCTGAGTTTAATCCCCAGCACAACCCCCTTACACCTGAAAAAAATAAAAAATGTTGGCAGAGGGCACCTTAGATTAACAACATTCAACTATGTGTAGTAGGCGGCCAAGAAACATGAACTCTGTTCAACATAGGAAAAAAGAAAACAGAAAAAAAGGTGTCATGATCAAAGGCAATGACTTCTTGGTGGTAGGCAGTGCTTCCTCTGGCAAAAGAATGGCAGTAAATGGGACAATTTTCATAGGACTATCTCCAACCTTACCAGTACAGGCATTATACAGGAATAAACAACTCCAGCCACATTATTCAAGGGCAAGAGAGAAAAAAAGCTCTCCCCACAAAGAGATGGTATACTGAAGTCCCAGCTCAAGATCTTGGAAATGTGGCAGCCACAGGTCAACAAGGTTCTGCTAGTGAAGTCTGGAACTCTTCAAGAAGGGTTTCGCAGTCAGGTGGATGAATCCAGTTAAAGTATGCTTCCAGGTACAATGGGAGAGACCTAGAGATCAAGAAAGGTGATGCCCAAGGGTAAAAGATAGAAGGCTGGACACTCTTCCCCATCTCCCATTCCTCATCATCCCAAACAGGCCCCAAAGACTCCAGGATCCCAGGCCCTCAGCCCCCAACCTGGAGGCCTCAGGCTCACCGAGTAGCTTCCTCCTGTGGCAGCTGAGTCGGGGCCTTCAGCTTCCACCAGACAGCACTGGCCTCATCCTTCCGGTTCAGTTTCTTCAGAGTCTGAAGCAGGTGGAATGAAGCATCTCTGTGGCCTGCGGCACCATCCCAGAGTATAAAAACTTAAAGCCTGATACAGCTGAAGGCGTCGTTTTCAAAAGGGAAAAGTGAGGCCTAGGGAGAGGTGTCTTGTCCGTGCTCACTCATGAGATGGAGGTCATTAACCACCATTTCTATCCTAGTATCTACTGCCTATCCAGTACAAAAGGCTCTTCCTCTACAACCCACCCCAATAGTCACAGAACCTGTGTCTGAGTATATTGCGGTGACCAGGGAACTCTTAGAAGCTTTGCATACATTTTGTAGAGGCTTGTATGTACACATCTGGGTGTTTCTTAGGTATATAGGGCACAATCCCTTTTACCCCTCCCACCTGGAAATGCCATCCTTACACTTATGCCCAAGTCCCTGCTCCATGGGCCTCACTGTTCTTGCACATCTGTGCACAGCTGATATACATACCTGGACAAATTTGCACACTGAGGAGGAAATCTTGCAGGGCTTTGGTATCCTGGCCACTGGCTATCCATTCCAGTCCACGACTGATCAGAGCAGCAGCCCGAAGATGTTGCAGTGTCATGTCTGACCTACACCCCTGCTCACAGTTGGAGGCTGCTCCTGTGAACCACCCCTGAAGTCATGAAAGTGTCTTAAAAACCACAAGGACACCAAAATCCCAGGAACCCCTTTATTTATTTATTTATTTATGGGGGCGGGGGGCTGAGAATTGAACCCAGAGCCTTGAGTGCTTGGTAAGCACTATACCACTGAGCTACATCCCCAACCCCCCTCTATTTATTCTTGTGACCAGAGTCCCTTTCTGTTAGGTCACCTAGTCTGGTGCGCTGGGATACATGGGATACATACCACTTCCAGGAGACAAGGAACACCTAAAGTCTAAATTACCTTGGCCTTTGTCCTCAGGCATGACTCTAAAGAGCAGCTCAAGACAACTGAAGACATGAAGAAGTGAAGAGAAATCAAACTCAAATTCGTATGAGTGGGCGAGAATTGAGCTAACTAACCCAGTGCCAATCAGAAAATCCTCCTTTCATACCTCCCCAGAACCACAGGCAGCCTCCTGGACTCACCGGCTAAATTCACTGACTGCCTCCTTTTGGGTCCTCAGTTGAACCCATGCCTGACCCTGAAGCAGGTGGGCAGCTGAGACCCAGAGTGGGCAGTGTGGCATTTCCTTGGTTCCTCTTCTGACATCTTCCCACAACCGGGGCATCTTAGGAAGCAGGAATGATGTGCGGCTGAGCAGCTCCTCACATACAGTCAGAGCATCCTGGGCTCGGCTGGCCTGGATCAGCGCTAAGGCAGCCTCCAAGAACACCTCCGGCATACAGGGCCCTGGGGGACATGAGGGTGGGGAGAACTCGGGTGGGAGGAGGATGCAATGCTTTAAACAGGCAGGAGCCAGGAGCCACTACCCCACCCGCTTCCCAGGCTATGTTACCATGCAGAGACCTGGTCTCCCAGAATGGACAGATAGAACCATAGAGGAAAAACAGAAAGTAGCACTTCTGCTCTTCTCCAAAGGCAACCCAGTCCTTCCACTTTACCCAGAGAACCCTAAAGATATACCTACCCTTGGCTCTGAGCCATCCAACAACAGGGCCAGCAGATCCAAGTAATGCTCCGCAGCATCTTCTGCCCTGGGGAGTCAGAGCTGCAGCTTTACCTTAGGCCCTTGGGGACCCCCAAAGGGTTCGAGAGACGATGTTCTGTTTTAGCCAATAGATACTAATGGTCCGGAGGAGAGGGGAGAAATAGGTCTTTGGGACTCCAACCCTGGCTAAGTGTGGCTCTACCCCAGTTACAGAATGGATTAGGGAGGAGACTTCAGCATTTCAAAGACAGAGAAAGTGGAAAGAGAGTCTTCAGTTCAGGTCCAGCAATAAAGAAGGAGACTGAAGAGTCCAGACCTATGTCCTGCCTCTGCTTCACTCAATGGTCAGGAGAAAAAATGGTCAGAGTCACACCTACACAAGGCATCAGAGGAGGGAAGAGGAGCTCAAGTGAACAGGGGGGAACTTTACCTCCCCATTTGTAGGCATCGGCTTGCCAGCAGGTGCTTGATCTGGCTCTGGGTACCACAGTGAAGGGGAGAGGCTGGGTCAGGTTGTGTGAGTAGCAGTTCTACCTCAATGAAAACCTGGGGGGCTTTAGAGCTATGAGCTTGAGTGACACTCAAGGCCTAAAAGGAACAAAGAGAAGAAAGTATACAATCTTTGGGAGCCATATTTCCTTGTATTTGCATTTTCACTAGTCACCCCAAAACAAACACCTCAGCAGTACTCCACTCTGTATCTTTTCATCCCAGTTCCTTACCTCAGTCAGCAGCTCCAGACTCTCCAGCTCCGCTGTTGTGTCCCCCTGTTGCCGGTATAATCTGGAAGCCTCCAGAAGAAGAGGACCCCAGACAGACCCCTCTTTTAGAGCTGCAATTAAGTAGAGCAGTGCTCTCTGTGGTTTTCCCTACATTTGTGGAAAGACAAGGCCTCAGCTATCCTCACAAAGCAGAATGCTGTCCCCAGTGCCCATGGTTTCTCCCCAACCCCCACTGCCACCCAGAGCTATCCTTACCATCTTTCGGAGACAGTTCCCCAGTGCTGTATACACCTGGACTAGCACAGATCGGGAACACATACTGGAGGCTGCTTCCTGCAGGCTGCTCAATGCCTTGGGTAGGCTCCCTGTGATCAGCTCCTGCAGGCCTAGAAGCAACCACGGTGCAAGCTTAGAGAGGCTCACAGGGAAGGGAACACAATGGGGAAACAACTCCAGAGAAACCTTGGAGCTGAATGAGACATAACAAGGACAACATAAATCCAGAGGACCCCTTATGGGAGGAGGAGATGAGTCAGGTTGCTGGCTGACCTTGGCGGAAGGCAGATGCTGTCAAAAGGATATCTCTTAAACTCCGGGCATCCTGCAGAATCAACAGAGCACTTGACTCTGCAGCTGGAGGGCTCCAAGTTTTTAGAAGCAACAGCAGATCCTCAGAGGCTCTGCTCTGGAAAAAGGAAGACATTCAGAGGCTTTAAGCCTCTAACTATACCCTCTTTTCCTTGGTCCATCTTTGCTGGACTTTGGGTTCAAGAGTCCTCCTGATTCCTATTCCCCAATTCTAACAGAAATCTAGATTTGAAGCAAAAATAAAAAGGAAGAAGCTGGGCATAATGCCGCACACCTGTAATTCCAGCACTTCAGAGGCTGAGGCAAAAGGACTGCTCTGAGTTCAAACCCAGCTGAACTACATAGTGGCAAACTGTTTCAAAAAAGAAAGAAAGGAAAAAAAAGAGAAAAAAAGAAAAGAAATCCAGGGGAAGCAAGGGATGATGGTACACACATGCAACCCCAGCATTCTGGGGGGTCAAGTAAGAGGACTGCAAGCAAGTTCGAGCCCATAGTGGGCAACTTAACAACTTAGGAGACACTGTTTCAAAACAAAAAATAAAAAATGCCTGACATACAGCTCAGTGTGAAGGCTCTGATTTTAATTGACAGGATAGGATGGAACAAGGGAAGGGAAAAGGGGGAAAGAATGGGAAGGAAAGGAAAGGAAAAGGGGGAGAATGAATGAATCCATGGCAATGGAGATCTTTTCTAGTATCCCTTCTCATTCAGGAGAAATCCCTTGAGTACATGAAGCAAGTACATGTCTGAATTACTAAAAAGACTAAGGCTGGGAGGTAGCTTCAACAAGATCACAAAAGCCCAAACTGTACCCAAATTTATGAAACTATTTGAACCCCCCACCACCACCATGTTCCCCAATTAGGAGCCAACTAGAGCAACAGTCCCCAAGAAAACAGGTTTTCTGGTCATCAACCCAGCAGCCTTTCCAGTATTTAACAATTCTAGGGGCTGGGGATTTAGCTCAGCGGCATAAGCGCCTGCCTTGCAAGCAGGCAGTCGTGAGTTCAATCCCTGGTACCGATAAAAATGAAAAAGACAAAAAAAAAAAAAAAAAAATTCTACCTCAGCTGGGGGTAAGAGAGAAGAAAGGATACCCTCATCTTCAAATCACTTCTTCCATTACCTGGGTGCCATTCAATGTCTGCAGCAACGAGACCAGGTCCCCAAGATGCTCAGTGCTCAGCCAAAAGGCTGCCTGCAGGCCAGCCAAGAGATGCAGGACAGGGAGCAAGTCCGGCAAAAGGCAGGAAGCGTGGAGGACGGTGTCCCAGAGCTCCCTGAGCCCCAGTTCCAACCCGGGCCCCAGCCGCTCTTGGGTCTCCAGCACTGTGGAGTACACATACAAACACCTCAAGTGGGTCCTTATCCTCCATCGCCCCACAATCTTTGGCTTTTCTTTCCCCTAAAAGCCCAAAGATTGTAATAATACCTCAACCTGGGCTGAAGAGCACCTGGAGAAACAGACAAGAACGCCTCTCTCCATGTAGGTGACAGATTTTGTTGTTCCTCCAACCACCACCACTCCCCCCACCCCCAGCTTAAAGCTAGACTGAAGCAGGCAGGGGCATGGGAAGCAATCACAGCCCTCACCTCTCTTTAAGGCCTGTTGAATATCCTGAGCCTGGTCTTCAGTGAAACCCCGAGTCAGGCTCACTCTCAGGATAATGAAGTTACAGGTAATGGTCAGCTCCAAGGGGAGAACAGGAACAGCTGCAGGGAGCCCTGGAACAGATGCTGGTCTCCCATGAAAGGTCTCCCAATTTAGAGATAATCCCACTCCAACCCAAATGGTCACAATAAAGAACCCATCCTTTATACTGAGTCTGGAAAGAGCAGGAAATTCTCCAGATCAGACAGTTCAGAAACCACAGTCCCCTCTGAGCCTCAAACAGGACTCCCTATCCGCTGTCCCCACCTCAATCCCAGAAATGCAGAAGAGGAAAGGAAGTGACCATCCCATGAAGGGCCCTGCTTACCCTGCAGACTGAGGAGGACCTCCTTGAGGCCCTGCAGTATGTTCTGAATCAATTGCTGCCGTCTGACGCCACACTCCTGAGCCATCACTCCCTGCCAAAAGTAAGAGGGGGCATCACTGAGCGCAGTCTTTTTTCTCTCCCCCTGCAGCAGTGGGGACAGGACAGGGAGTTGCATTCCCATCATTTCTGGCTGTATCGGGGAGGTCAAAGTCCAGCTCTGCTTCTTCCCCTCTGCTGGGACAAATCTACTGCCAACCGGTTTGCTGGGCTCTTAAGAGGGGGTTCCAGCAACTGCATTACCTTGGCCTGTCGAACAAGGCGATCGTTCTTTTCTCTCCATAAGTCCAGGCAGCTGGCGCGCGGTGCAGAGGCACCCGGAAGGGTCTGGCGGGACATGGAGGCCGATGCACTTAACACCTAGGCCGACACGCCGCTCCCCCTTGGGATCCCAACCTGACTGGCACGCCCACACTCTGCAGAATTCGTCTTCGCGCCGCTCGCCTCTGATTGGCCAGGACTGCAAATCTCAGCTCCGAGTCAGTTCCCGCGGGAAGCAGGGGATAGAAGCGAGTCCCAGCGCCGGGAGTGGGGTGGCGCGTCTCAGTAGCGGAACAGCTCGCCGCCCGCCGGCTAGCTGGACCTTGGTTCGAGAAAGGGCGGTGGGCATCCGCTCTCGGGAGGCGCCGCGTGTCGGGCGCAGCCTTTCTTCTCAGCCACTGCCCGGCCCGCGCGGGCCTCGCCTTCGCGCTCAGCCAGGCGCGGTGCATGCTGGGGGTCGTAGTGTGGCGGGGAAAACCCTTCGTACACAGCAACTCCAGCAGGCGCCCACTGGTGTCTAGGCCCTCGGAAAATCCACTTTTTCTTACCAGAAGTGGAAAGCAAGGGTAGGCGCTCTCTCTCTCTCTCTCTCTCTCTCTCTCTCTCTCTCTCTCTCTCTCTCTCTCTCTCTCACACACACACACACACACACACACACACCCGAAAATGGGTTAAAAATGGAATATAAGGACCCGGGTGTAGTGGCTCACGCCTGTAATCCCAGCACTCGGGAAGCTGAGGTGGGAGGATCATTGCAAGTTCAAGACCACTACAAAGTGAGCTCAAAAAAAAAAAAAAAAAAAAAAAAAGTGAGCTCAAGGCCAGCCTGAACTGCATAGCGAGACCTTGCCTCAAAAAAGACAAAAAAAAAAAAAAAAAAAAAAAAAAAAAAGAATGCGGAGACAGACTCCATGACCTCCGGGGTCTGGCTTTCTCTCTGCCAGACATGTGGTGTGGGGGCATACTTGTAGCTTAGGTTTGGAGTGGAGCCTAAAGGGGTATTACTGATGCACAGGTAGCCCATTGGAATTCATTTCACACCACAGGTAAATTGCTTAGGGGCGGGGAAGGTGACGTTCCACCTCCCACTGCTGCAGCATCCCCTTTAGGGCAAAATCCTTTCACTTCTTAGACTCAACAACTGGAATCTTGTCTTATTAAAAAGTTTTTGCATGTCTAAAGAAACCTCCAACACAGCTGCCTTGGTTACTTTTCTCGTTGCTGGGACAAAATACCTAACACCCAAGATGAAAAAAGGAAAGGTTTGTTTAGCTTATAGTTTTTGGAGGTTTCCGTCCATAATCATCTGGCTGCAAGGCAGGCTGGCATGGCACAGGCAACACCCTCCCCGTTAGGGCAGGAGTAGCACTCACAAAATCTCCTTGCCCACCTTTGCACAGAGATGAGGGTATTTAACAAAGTAAAAACCCTGGCTCCCTGCTGAGTCCTCAGTTAAACTTCTAAACTTCTCAAGTTGACACAATGTATCAACCATAACAGTGGGAAAAAAAAAAAAGCACAGAATTGGAAAAATGTCTTAGCTTACTGTCCCTCAAAGCACTTCTCTCTAGAACATATAGAGAATTTTTTAAAAAATCAGACCCCCAAAGTTCAAAGACTCAATCCAAAAATGGGCATTCAAGATGAACACACACTTCTCAGATGAAGTACAATGGCAAATAAATATTTGAAAAAATGTTCAGCATCATTGGTCATTAAGAGAAATGCAAATTAAAATGACAATGAGATTCCATCTCAGTCCAAAAAGAATGGCTAAGATCAAGAAATCAACCAATAACAAATGATGGAGAGGGAAAAAAGAACCCTTCTCCACTGTTGGTGGGAGTGTAGACTAGTGCAACTACTGGAAATCAGTGTGGAAATTCCTCAAAAAGCTAGAATTAGGGACTGGGAATTTAACTCAGTGGCACAAGCACCTGCCTTGCAAGCAGGTGGTCATGAATTCGATCCCTGGTACGTATAAAAAAAAAAAGTAGGATTAGAGGGCTGGGGATTTAGCTCAGTGACGTAAGCACCTTTCTGGCAAGCATGAGGTCTTGAGTTCTATCACTGTGTCACAAACAAACAAAATAGGATTAGAGGTTCCATTTGATCCAGCTATCCCACTTCTGGGCATTTTCCAAGAAGAATTAAAAACATCATACCACAGTGATATATGTGCACGCATGTTTATAGCAGCACAATTTGTAATGGCCACGTCTTGGAAACAACCCAAATGCCCATTCACTGAGGAATAGATAAAAAAGACAGGGTATTATTATACAATGGAGTACTACTTACCTGTAAAGAAGGATCACATTGAGGCTTTTATAGGTAATTGAATGTGACTTGAAACCATATCCATAAGTCAAATCAAACTCACATGTATAAATACCATATCATCTCCATAGTGTAAGAAATTAAAAGAGCAAATAAGATCCAAAATCTACAATAAGTATTGTGTAAGGATAAGAAATTGCTCAAAGGGAAAAAATAACTGGGATAGGGGAAAGGAGAAAAGAAGGGAAAAGGAAAACGATATAAATTTGTGTATACAGAAGATGCCTAAGGTGACTGTGCTAATAATTCTATTTTTTCTTGGAAAATAACTCATGATTAGATCAAGTTTGCATGTCTATATCTGGTATCTAAGCAACTCATTTAAAGATAATATGCAATATATTAGCCAATGTTAAATTTCTATCATCTTGTTTTGAAAGCCTACATTATTATTGTTTTAGGTTTATTGTTGTCGCTTGTCTCTTTTGCTTTTTATTTTTCTTTTCTGTTTTTTTTTTCTGTTTTAAATAAAATTTTTAAGAAGCAAAAGCTAAAATAAATTGAACATCATTAAAATTTAAAAAAAAAAAAAAACTTGTACTAAAAGACCAAGGAAATTTAAAGAAGTCACACAGTGGGAGAAAAATTATCTACCTCCTAAGGGACCAGTATCCACAATGCATAAAAGCACTTAAACTTCCATAAAGCAACTCTAGGATGGAAAAGAATAGGAACAGGCATTTTATCAAAGAAAAACATACAAATTGATAATAAGTTCTATTATGTACAGGTAAAAAAAGGGAAAATCAGAACTCTTCTTTAAAAAAATTGTTTATGATAAGTTCATGAAAATGATACTCAACATGTTTAGCTATTAGAGAAGTACAAAATTAAAACCTTTAGATAAACCGGCATGGTGGCTCTGCCTGTAATCCCAGCACTCTGGAGGCTGAGGCAAAAGGATCCTTGCAGTTTGAGACCAGCCAGGGCTACAAAGTACACTCAAGGCTAGGCTGAACTGTATAGAGACCCTGGTTCAAAAAATAAATAAATAAAATAAAACCCTTTGATAGGGCTGAGGATGTAGCTCAGTGGAAGAGTGTTTGCCTAACATGCACCAAGCCCTGGCTTTAATCCCTAAAACCGGGGGTGAAAAAAGATACCACTGCATACCTACACTCATTTGGTAATCCCAGTGCTCTGGCAGGCTGAGCTGGAAGACTGTAAATTCCTCTTTTTTTTTTTTTTTTTTTTTTTTTTTTGGTACCGGGGATCAAACTCACGACCATGTGCTTGGGAGGCAGGTGCTTATGCCACTGAGCTAAATCCCCAGCCCAAAGACTGTAAATTCAAATCCAACCTGAGCAATTTAGCTTAAGGAGAATCTGTCAAAACCAAAACAAAAAACAAAACTGGAGATGTAACTCAGAAGGCCCTATTCAACCCCCAGTACTGCAAAAACAAAATTTAAAACAAGTACAATTTCACAATAGCTAAAAACTGGAAACACACAAAGTTCATCAGTCCACAGCCAATTAGTCAGCAATAAAGAGGGGCAAAACAGTGACATATGCACCACCATGAATGAGCTTCAGAGCCATTATCATCAACCAGACCAAAAGACCTTGTATTACACAACCCTATTTATATGAAATGTCCAGAAAAGACAGTTAAAAGACCAAAACTAGATCAGTGCTGTAGCACAGGATTGACTATGTTTGCTCTTTTTTTTTAAAACTTTTTATCGGTACTAGGGATCGAACTCACGACTGCCTGCTTGCAAGGCAGGTGCTTATGCCGCTGAGCTAAATCCCCAGCCCCCACAGGATTGACTATGAAGCAAAGTGTTTGGATGGAGTGTGGTGGAAGATTTTTTTTTGTTTTGTTTGTTTTTGGTCTTTTTCCTTTTTATCGGTACCGGGGATCGAACTCACGACTGCCTGCTTGCAAGGCAGGTGCTTATGCCGCTGAGCTAAATCCCCAGCTCCTAAATTTTTTTTTAAACACTGGTAATCAAACTCAGGATCTTGCGTTTGTCAGGCAGGCACTTTTGCTGCTGAAGTAAATTCCCAGGCATTTTTTAGTCTTTTTGTGACAGGGTCTCACAATGCAGTTTAGGCTGGTCTTGAGCTCACTTTGTAGCCCAGGCTGGTCTCGAACTCACAATGATCCTCCTGCCTCAGCCTCCTGAGTGCTGCCACCGCACCGGCAGAAATGTTTTAAAACTAAATGGTGCACTTGGGAATGTTCTTACATATTATTATAGAGAGCTGAGTTAGGTAGAAATATTATAGCCAGTCAGACAGGGCTAGGTCTTAGAGGAAGTCAGTGCAAAAGATGAGAACATATCAGGATTACGGCTGGAGGCACATCTGATGACTGAAGTCACAGTGGCCAAGTTCATGTACTTCCCTAAGGGATTAGTGGAAGTCTGAGATTTCCACTAAAACACTAATAAGACTAAAATTAAAGACAAGACAAAGACCATCGATTATCGAGCAGGGTAATAATGTCACCTATATGCCCTTGCTACTCTTGGATCAGTATTAGCCAAGCAGCAATCCTTGTAATTGTATTGGTGCCTTATAGCTTTGACTCTTCTGACTCACGTCATGTACCCACCTTGTGATTTTGCTCTACAGAACTTTCTCAGAGACATGGGCTCACTGGCAACCCATGTGGGATCCCTCCTGTCTGTCAGGAGCTATTTTCTATTCTCCATCCCCTTGCCCCAATGTTACAGGCAGCTGAGCCAGTTAGAAATATTATAGGCAGTCAGACAGTGCTAGGCCCTCCAGGAAGCCAGCACAGAGGACCAGATGTCTGATAACCTTGGAGGGGACACACACCCCTTGCTGTGGGCCGGATCTCAAGACAGAAGGCAAAACAAATGCAACCACACCCTTAAATATAATCCTTAGGGATTAAATCTGGATCACCTTGAGAAACCAAGTCACCATCCCAATCCCTTAGGGAGGAGTCACTGATCTCTAAGAATGCCCACTTCCTATGTGACCTGCTTTCCCATTTGTCCCCAATTTAATCAGTTTTACCTAAACTATTGATCTTATTAGCTAACTGTAGTTATGTTCTACCTTATGCCCATCTGCTTTGTGACTTCCCAGTCTTCTCCCGCCTTGAACCCATGGTTCT